GCTACCTTGGCATTTTGGATAATGCTCTAACCAAATGAGCTATCCAGCCAGGGCTCATGTTTGGATTTTTAAATTTTAACTGATAAGTCTACATTTTTTTATAATGAAGACAAAAATTTAAAAACACTGTTCACAAGATTCAATAGAACTCACATTAATAAGTAAAATGAACAGACAGCCCCTTATAGGTGAAAAGCAGCTAACCATGTTCATATCATCTCTCTGCCAACATCTCCTTTGGCTCTGGACTCCTTGTCGCCTGTCTCCCTTTACCCTCCCCATCTCCAACACTCCTCCCTCCCACCGGGTCTGCTTTAGCGGGCCTTCTGAAGAGGAACTGTCACCTTCACACAATGGGGGCACTAAAACAGAAACATCCAACATATTCTTCTCCTCTGCTACTGAATATTCCCTGCCTCACCAGGAGGAAGACTCCACCCATTACTGGGTGGACCTCATGGAGGGAGCAGGTGGATTCCTATAAGATGCTGTCCTAAAGGGCAAAGTGACAGCCACATGCTTCCTCAGGAAGGAAAGTTAGCATTCTATACTGACACAGAAGATGGACAGGGATAAAAAGTCACAGGATGTGGGAGATGCCAGAATGGCTATGGGAAATAAGCTAGTCCAACAAAGTCAAGCAGAATTTCTTCTGAATAAAACTAACAAAAATATATTCAAAGAAGCATCAGGAATTAACACTAGCACACGTGTTCAAGAAAAACATACACTTGGGAGGAAAGAACCTCTTTAGCAATGCCTTTCTAATACTCAAACACCTGCTGCACTGTTTGTGAACTCAAAAGGATGGCCTTGCAGGATGAGGGGGGCAGGAGGGGAGAAGGAAGGTCTCTGCTATAGAGAGACCAAATCCCTTCTGCTCTGACACCAAAGCCCAAGCCATGTTCAAAGTTATTTCCAAAACAACTTCTGTCTCCCAAGCTGAGAATCTGCTGAGTGATGAGCAAGAGATTCCAATCCATTTACGGTTATAGTTCACATTGTAAAACTGAAAGACTTCTAGTTACAAATTACTACGCACTGTAATAACTTCCAGTTATAAATTGTTAGTGAGTTCAACCTTTAAGTAGATCTATTTCCAACCTGGATTGGGGAACAAAATGGGGCAGTTTCTACCTTTTCCCTCCTCTACCAATCCTGAGCTTGGTCCTGAGTTTGGGCAAGTTTTCCTGTACTACACTTTTCTCACCTGTATTGTAGGAAAATGGCAAGAATACCACCTCAAAGGGTTGCTGGAAGTACTAAATGATATAAAATGCTGAGAACAGTGCTTGGCTGGTATGTGGTAAATGGTATTGTTGTCACCATTATTATTATCATCATGACCAGATAAGTCCAAAGGTTGTGGTATGGGCTTCAGTCTCTATCACATCTGAATGTTTCCAAATGCACGGTTACTTCAAAGAGATCTGATTCCCAGCTCTCGCTTTGTGCTCCATACTCAGTTCCACTGCAGGGACCCATCAGAAGCTCACCATCTCAGTCTGGTTGTTCAGACAGGAACCACAGCAGTTCTTACTGAACAAAAGCTCTGACACCGCAGACAAGTGCCCACGCATATCACCTGCACACACACAGCCCAGGTTTGTTTCCTACTTTTCTAGATTTTTGTGGACATCTTCAAATAATGAGGGCTTCCTGTGTCTGCTGACATCCACTTTTGCACTTGCTAAAATGTGAGGAAGCAGCTAATCCCACCCTCTTGGCCTAGATGGAGCCGATCTTTGAATTTCTACTCCCTGCCTCCTTGTGTCTGGGCAGGGCCAGCTGCCAGTTACAGGTTTCTCAAATGAGAGGCTCTCACCAAAGACTGGGATCCAGAAGCCGGGTTTGTCTGTGGTTTTTCTCTAGGTGGAGAAATCACCAGGTGCGAGAAAATTGTCTGTAAATCATCGCAAAGTTAAAAAGAAAAAAAAAAAGGAAGTTGCAGAGGATTCTACTGGAAGGAAGGAAGGAAGGAAGGAAGGAAGGAAGGAAGGAAGGAAGGAAGGAAGGAAGGGGAGGGGAGGGGAGGGGAGGGGAGGGGAGGGGAGGGGAGGGGAGGGGAGGGAGGGGAGGGGAGGGGAGGGGAGGGGAGGGGAGGGGAGGGGAGGGGAGGGGCAATAGGAGGTGGGGAGGAAGTGGTACAGAAGAGTATTAGCCATGGGATGGAGGAGACAATGGCTGCCAGGACTAAGACCTGAGGAGTGGTGCTGATCCATACACTGAAAAATAAAGATCTCTCGGAGAGTAAAAAGGAATTCCATTAAATTTTCTTTAAACATTTCTATACTGGTAGTTGGGGGTAGTAGGCATACATTATTTATAATTTAAAAAGAGAAAAAAAATGACTAAATGAAATGTCATGCTAAAGCACAGATGGCAGTTGGACACAGTGGCCTGGAGAAGCCACAATCCTTTCACCTCGAGCTCCACACTTGCTGTGTAATCTCATCAGCACCTACTGCACGCCTGGCATGGAGTGGGTGCTAGGAACAGCTATATCCTTCCCACAGCGGCCTACAGGAGGTGTACAGTTCCCATTTCCAGACAAGGAGGATGAGGAGGGCCTGCCCCTAGTGGAACTGCCACGTACTAGGCATGAAATGGGTGCTTCTGCTGCACTGTCTGGCTTGGCCCTCACCACAGCCCCAGGGCCAAGGTTATCATCCCCTCTCACACAGAGGTTGCTTAAAGTGTCAAGGGCAAACATCTGGCTCATGGGCTGTGGGGTAGCTGAATTCCAAGACAAGATCAATTCTATAGGACCTGTTCCCCTGCTCAGTACATGCTCTGAGGTCCAGGATACTTATCCACATCAGGCTCCTAGCACAGTGCCTTGCACAATGGGCATTTGCAACAAGTGTGTGGAATAAATGAGTAAATTCACAGGCAACTATATGGACACAACACTTCTTCCCAGCTTCTTGTGGAGATAAACCTGACACTTGATGAGTGTTTAAGAAATGCTTGGTGAATTAATATGTGAATAAAACACAACCGCATACTAATGTTAGAATAGCTGAAGGCAACAACAAAGCATCACCGCCTGAACAAAGACAGTGTGGTTGCTGCAGAACTCTCTAATGGGTGAAACCCACAAAGCAAGAAACCTGGAACCATGAAGGGTTCCTATGTCACCGAATATTTAGAAAATAGGTACAGATTTTAGTACAAAAAGAGTGTTAAATCTTTCCTTAAAGTTATGAATAATGTCCCTTTATAAGAAAGTAACCTTCTATGTGTAAGGATAAAACTCTCACAAACTATTGGCAGAAGTATTTAATTTGGTTGGTATTTATTACAATTTTTAATATGTAAACACTTCACTTAATAATTCTATTTCTAGGAATTTGTCCTAAACTTTGCTTCAAACTCGAAGACATTCTTTCTACCCATGAAAGCAGTTAATAATAACTCACTAAATAAATCCCTGAAGATACTGGCTCTATAAAGGATTCCAGCTTTCCTGAACAACTCCCTACCACTTGGTGCTTTTCCCAAACTACAAATCTCACTGATTTAGGAACTCCAGTACTATTTTTAGTGAGTTCTAGTAGCAATTAGCAGCTAGCTGTCAGCTTCCTGTGCTTAATTCTCTTTGAGGAAACTAGCAAAGCTGGGAGCTTTCTGGGAAAAAGAGGAACAAATATTATGCAGAGAAACCATACAGGTTTTTATAATCAACTTGATTCTGAACTCACGAATTTAGGCAACAACCAGAAACTGACAGCAGTGTGTGCTGGCCTGCTCGAGGAGGGCGGAGTCTCAGATCCCATGATGAAGGTTGGCTCTCAGCCCAACAAGGCTGGCTGGTTTCTGCAGGTTTCCTCTGTGTATTCTCTCCTATTGAGCACACCCTGTCTCCATGCTCAGGAACCAGTTTTCACTAAATTCACTCAGTGTCACATAGCATGGGTACCTCCTTGGAAATCAAAAGTCTGTTTGCCATCCACTTGGCTCCTTGGGTTTCTACTCACCTCTGTGACCACAGAACACTTTGAGACAGATAAGCTAAAAATAAAAAGTCAACAACTGACAGCAAATCAAACACATATTGAATAAGCTGCAGAAAAATGTGTAACAAGAAAAGTCAATACAAGATGAGAATAATCTGCTAAAGATAAAATTGCCTCTTATCTTTTCCAGGTGATTAAAAAAACAGGTTTCTGAAAATTTATTAATAACTAGAAAAAAGTGATAAAAATTATAAATAAACTATATGGCTGCTAAATGTGTCCTTCAGCCAGCTGCTTTAGATCATGTTCGAACATGTGTACAGAATTAAAATGAAGGTCAGAGGTCCAATTGGAACCTGCAAGCTCATACCACTCAGTCAACACTGGCCAAGAGGTCTGGCATGAGGATGAGGGTCCAGTCCACAAGGGGTCTAGCACAAGTGGTGGCCACCTCCAGACCAGACTTTGAATAAACCAAGTTTACGCCTTGGTTCGATCATAGGTGAGAAGGCTAAAGTGACCTCTTAAAAAGCAAACTTCCCTTTGGGTGGAAGCAACCCAAATGTACATCAACAGATGAATGAATAAACAAAATGTGGTATATACATAAAATGGAATATTATTCAGCCTTAAAAAGAAAGACAATTCTGACACATGCTACAGCATGGATGCACCTTAAGGACATTATGCCAAGTGAAACCAGCCAGACACAAAAGGACAAATACTGCATGATTCCACTCATGTGAGGCCCCTAGAGTAGTCAGATTCATAGACAAAGAGTAGCATGGTGGTTACCAAAGGCTGAGGTGGGGATAAGGAGGTAGTATCTAATGGGTACTATCATTAGTACTAAGTGGGTATTAAAAGTACTAACTTCCAGTTGGGGAAATCAACGGGTTCTGGAGAAGGATGGTGGTGATGGTTACAAGCAATGTGAATGTAGTTAATGCCACTGAACTGTTAAATAGTTAAATAGTTAAAATGGCATACTTTACATTATACATATTTTACCACAATAATACAAAAGAAAAGAGAACTCACCTTTGAAGTTGCCAATATACAGGCCAGGCAGGATCTAGGGAAGAGACACAGACCAGATGTGAGTGTTAGGGACCTAAAACTGACAGTGTTTTGCGTATAGAGGCTGAACTGTCAGCAGAATAGCTGGAGCACAGCTTAGGCTTGTCACCTGCCACATTCACTCCCAGCACCTCCCTAGATGGACAGCACGCACAAGTGAGCATCCCTGTCTCCAGGCTCTTGCCTTCCCATGGCCAATAGTAAGCCTGCCCAAATAACCTACTGATGGTTGCATGTTGGTGCCCACTGACTTGTGGAACTTGAAAGACCAGGATTCTCCATGACTCCTCCTTTTACATACACCCTCCACCACCCTCTACACCTGCTGCACGTGCAAGCCTTCTCTCACAGCTCTAGCAAACCTGCCCTCTGCTGTCTGAGGCCTTTGTGCATGCTGCTCCCACTGTTAGGCAGCTATGTCTCATGCCCAAAGGAGGCCTGTCCTGATCCCCAAGTCTGGAGTAGACCCTTGCTTCAGTGCCCACAGTCTGCTGTGCTCCCTTGTAGTGATGCTGTCACAGGGGCACTACACGGTGAAGGTCTGTGCCCGCTGCTGGGCTGGAAAACTTTATGGGCAGCAAACACATCCCATCACTCACAGCTGCACACCCAACTCCTGGCTCAGGGCTTGGCCCATGATTATCATTCAACCAAAAATTGTTAAATGAATGAATGACTGTCTAAACGGGCAAGTTAATTAAGAACATACATTTGCTCCTAAATGTCTACTTCCCTAAGACAGTGTTTTCAAACCAAACTATCCACCAGAATCTGTTAAAAATTCAAATTTCTGGCCACGCTTCCCAGCCCCAGCCCCCAAATAAAATGGTTCAGTAGATCTGAGATGAGAATGGGGACTGTATTTTTCACTTTGCAAAACATGAAACCAGAAACTCATTCTTGTCTTGCCAATACTTTCTATAGAAACTCCAAAGTCCAATTAGGGACACTGCTGCAGAAGCTACAGCACCAGACAGATTTCCCAGTGCACACAGCACACAGGTCTTGATGACACTTCCCTACAGACCCCCAATGCCCAGGCAACACCCTCATGTAACACCACTACCCTGTACCCGGCTCTGCTCCACACTCCCTCTTTTTCGCCCACTTCCACTAAGAGATCTGAAAGCAGCACCCAGTGATGCTCTTCAGGGCAGGGATTTCATTGAGCATCTTTGCCTTGCTAAAAACTGATGGCACATGCACAAACCACTGTAGAGCCTGACCTACTCTATACAAAGCAGCCACATTTGGGTTCTTGTTGAGACCACATACCCTGATGTAGGCCTTTGAATCCAGAAAAAATACACAAATGCACTTGAGCTTCACAGACCATCAGGCAAATCACCAATTAGCAAAGTCCTACCCAACCCTGAAAGCAGCAGCCCCACCGGCACTCCACTGACCAGTTGGAGGTTACTGACAGGAGGCTCCTCCCTCCGCTGGACTCCACTTATACCTCACTTAGCACTTCCTTCTATGCACTCCTCAATTACCACCACGCCCCGCCCCCATCCCACACACACACATTTATTTATTTGCTTCTCTTGAAACTTTAGTGCAGTTCCTGTGTTCAGCTTCTTCAGCCCTCCCCTCTGACTTACTGCAACAGCTTCCTAGACATCTCCCTACCTCTGGACTTGACAACTCCAAAGATTCCTCAACCTACCTCCAAGGTGCAAAGCTCATCATGTGGTTATTTCAGATTAAAATCTTCTTAGGGCTCCAAGTAGCTATCAGGATGACACCTACATATGACACCTCAGCAAATGAGACCTGCAAGGACCAAGGTTGCTATGTCTACAGCCTCTGCCCTACGCCTAGCACCTTCACCCATCTTCCCCTCATCCAAGGAAGACACAGGCCAGGCCCCCCAACCCAGCATCCAGATTTTATGGGAAACAACCCAATTTTCAAACACTGTCAACTACATTAGGAAAAACAATCTTAAACATTGCGATAAATAAGGAAAACACAAATGCAGGCTGACTATAGCCCACAACAGTCTAATTTACCTGCTGCCTGCACATATGTTTTGTCTAAACTCAAATGGTTTCCCCTGGATTGGTAGGTATTCAAGTAAATGTTTTTTCAATGAACAAATAAACAAGTGAATAGAGTGGGAGGAGTCAAAGCAAGGAAAGGAGAGATATGAAAACAATGGTGAATGAAACTTGTGAGATGAAATTGTGTCCCTTTCTGCCCTGGCTGGTTTCCCTTTGGGGTCAGTGAACCAAGCTGGGGCCCTGGGGCTGGGCTGAGGAAAGCAGCACCCTGAGGGATGCCAGGGCAAGAGCTGGCAAAGGCAGAGATCTGAGCTTACTAAAACCAAGAAGCCCACTTACTAAAGTCATTTAAGATGCACATTCTGTATTCAGTTAAAATATTTTTAAGTAATATAAGGAGACAACAGAGTTATGTCAGAAAAACTTTTAACTCAATTTTCCAGACCAGAAGAGTAAGCTAGAGTTTCAAGGGCTGGAAATAAAAAGCAAATTTCTCAATCTCAGTTTCTGCAGTTTCTGCCACATAAAATTACAAAACAAGATCAAGGATGGCTGGAGGACCATTGGCAGGGAGAAAAATTCAATTTTTGTTTTCTAGAGGAATAAAAGCCCATAAATATTTAAATTTCTATACCAATCAAACTTAAAACTGTAATTCAAACTTAAAAATAAAATAAATTCGCCCTAATCGGTTTGGCTCAGTGGATAGAGCGTCGGCCTGCGGACTGAAGGGTCCCAGGTTCGATTCCAGTCAAGGGCATGTACCTTGGTTGCAGGCACATCCCCAGTAGGGGGTGTGCAGGAGGCAGCTGATTGATGTTTCTCTCTCATCGATGTTTCTAACTCTCTATCACTCTCCCTTCCTCTCTGCAAAAAAAAAATCAATAAAATATAATTTTAAAAAAATAAAATGAAAATAAAAAATTTGACCCTATTTCCCCAATATTATTGTTACTAATAATATCTAAGTTCAAAAAAGGAGACAATAAAGTGAAACAAAATAATTTTACAGCAGACAGATGCTTGTATAGGAGCCCAGGGAAGAGGTGAGAATTCACCTGGGATAGCATGGACAGTGAACTCACACCTGGTAGGAAGTAAGGACAGATTAAGGAAAGAAGTTAGTAAATGCAATTTGGGAATATTCTATGACTCTAAAAGAATAAGTACAGAATTGGTCCTAATCACCTTTGGGCCTTGGAAATAACTGTTCCTTCCCTCTGCCAAGGATATTCTTTCCCTGTTGTTCACCTAGGTGGTTCCTTGTTGCTTAGGTCTCCCATGAGATGACAGCTCCTAGAGAGGTCTTTCCTGACCACCTAACTCCCTAACACCTCTACCATATCACCCTGTTTTATTTTCTTCATCGCATTTATCAAGACCTAAAATTATTTTGTTTGTTTATTTTTCTGACTGACCTTGAAGCAGGGTCTTGTGCCCTGCTGTGTCCCAAAAGCCTGCCACTGAGTCTGGCACATGAAGAGATAATCACTGAAGGAAGATGCTGACACTGCTGGTCAAAAGATTCTTATTTTTGTTAAAGGACTGTCTGGAGATAGGTAATGAAAGGAAGACTCCTTCTGCAGTAATACTTTGAGACCATGCTAAAAATTTTCCATGGTTGATGGCTCCTCTTGATCAATATTGTTCACATCCACACCTTACTAACACTGGTCATACAGAAATGCATAAAATCAAATCCATAGCTGCAAGAAAGATTTTAAACACAAAAGGATACTATTTCTAAGGCAGCAAATATTTTGAGATTACTTTTTAAACATTTCTTAGTATTTCAGGATGCCATGAAATCTAAGACCACCACCCAAGCAGATATAAGGGAGAAAATTCCTGATCAAGCAGTAGTACAAGGTAATGGGGGTGGAGGAAGGCTTATAATTCTCCCTAGGTCAGAAAGGACTGTCTGAATTTTAAAGCCACGGGTGAGGGGGAGAACTCTGGGGGATTCCTGAAGGGTTAAATGTCACAGACTTTCTTAATGCCATTTGGCTAAGAAGTTAACCAGTTTGCACTTACAAAAGAAAGAATCTGAGAATACTCTTGCGTGCACTTACATGCCGTAAGCATCTGTTTCTTCAATATGAAATGAATCTGTAATGCTGAAAAGAGAAAATATGCAGGGAGTAGTGTTGAGAGGATAGAGAGACCACCAACACAGCGCCATCTGTCCATCAGTGCCATCTGTCCATCAGCCCCACAGACACAGCTGTACAGGTGCCACTCACAGTACACTTGCCTCCCACAGAGGGAGTCCTCTCTGTAAGTTGCTTCAGACCAACTTGGATGGCACATTTATTTCCCACAGGGTCTAACACAGTGCCTGGACGATAGCAGGTGTTCAATAACATAATTTGATGACTGGGCAAATGGACAACTGAATAGATTATGAAGGAAGTAAAGTCAGGTGCTGCCATGTGGAAACTGCAGCATCTAACAGCACAAAGATGTCTGACCTTCTAGCTTCTTCCCATACTGCACAGTGCTTCTTTACCTCTTAGGCCCTCTTCGACTTTTTAAGAATGATTGGGTTCCAGATAACACAGACGTCAGGAGAGTCTGAGTGAAGAACCCTAAGTCAGTGGTTCTCAACGAGGGATGATTGTGCCCTCCAGGGGATATCTAGCAGTAATACCTGGACACATTTTTGGTTGTGACATGGGGGGAGGGGATTACTGGCATCTAGTGGGTGGAGGCCGGGGATAGTGCTAAACCTCCCACATAGTACACAAGACAGTCCTTACAACAAAGAATGCTACAGCTCAAACTCAATACTGCAGAGGCGGAGAAACCCTTGTCTCTGCCTTGGGGGCATATCCCCTTAGCTCTTTCCCCTTGAACTACACTCCTTTAGCAACTATACTCCCGTATCATCCTAAAGAGAAAGGAGCTATGCTGCCACAGGTGTCAGCCATATCCAAGGCAGATGTCATCACTACTGTAACTACTGATGTGCCAAATCCAAGTGCAGATTTGCTTGTAAAAATGTCTTCTAATCAATTCTCATTTGCTTCTCTCAAGAATCTGGGCAGAAACTTGGGGAAGTATCATTAAACTCATTTTAGAGCAAATAGGAGACTAGATAAGCTACCCACCATCCCTATGAATCCAGGGAATAGAGAAACCAAAGCTCAGAAACATTCACAGTAAAAAAGAAGGAACTCTTACCATTTGCAACAGCAATGGACCTGGAGAGCATCATGCTAAGCGAAATAAGCCAGTCAGAGAAAGATAAATATCATATTATCTCACTCATTTGTGGAATATAATGAACAACACAAACTAATGAACCAAAATAGAGACAGAGGAGAAAAAATATACTAGAATATAATAGAAGTAATCCTGTTATTTGCAGATTTTTAATATTTCCTACAACTTTTGTGATATACTATGTTAGTACAGTTTTGGTAATATTATTATACTTATAATCCTTTTATTCTTGAAATATTGTTTATTGTATGTAATATTATTTTACGTAAGATCATTTTTCTTGAGATATTAATGTTTATTGCATGTAACATTGTTATATTTAAAATCGTTTTTCTTTAAATAAAAAAATAGAAAAGAAACATTCAGTGACTTGTTCAAGATTGCAGCATGAAGCAGCAGAGTGGGAGGAAGGAAGAGGCTACCAGACTGGGCAGCTGGGTGCTGGATGAACTGTCTTTTAAGCCAGAAGATGCTCTCAGATCCTACCCTAGATGGTAACATATTAGCCCACTTCTAGGTCATTAGTTCAGGTTGATCAAGATAAAAACATACATTTAGAGACGCATTTGGGCCGGTTTCTCCAATATAATGCTGGCTAGAAAAAATGGGTATTTGTTTTTGATGGGGTATTACATTACTACTTAAGACTAATAAGATGATAATGAGATAGTCATTTTCTTTATAGGTCCTCCCCAAAAGATTTGGGGGTTTAGACACTTGAGAGAACTTTGAGTCAATTAGGAGTTTGAGAAGGTTCCACAGAAACATGATATTTGCATGCAATCACGTTCAGTTTCACTCCAATCCTCACAGAGACATTTACTAGTCCCTTGGTCGGCAAACTGAGGCTCGCGAGCCACATGTGGCTCTTCGGCCCCTTGAGTGTGGCTCTTCCTAAGCCTTAGGAGTACCCTAATTAAGTTAATAACAATGTACCTACCTATATAGTTTAAGTTTAAAAAATTTGGCTCTCAAAAGAAATTTCAATCGTTTTACTGTTGATATTTGGCTCTGTTGACTAATGAGTTTGCCGACCACTGTACTAATCTGACCCTTTTAGCAGCACGGAGAGGCACTCTGTATTATGGCTATGAACCTGACCATCTGGCTTAGAGCCCAGGCTCTGCCACTCACCAGATGGGTAGCTTTGGGCTGGTCACTTAAACTCTGTGTACCTCATCTGTAAAACAGGAATACAAATAACAGTACCAACTATACAGGGCTGTGGTGAGGATCAGAGGTCAAGTCGCAAGACTTGCCCGGCATACAATAAGCTTATTAGTGATTATAAATTTGACCAGTTCAGAGAATCTATTTGGGAATTGCACAAAAGGGAATGAAATGATAGTTTTAGTTGCCTCCCTTTCCCTCCTTTTGCTTTATCAATGTCAAACATGAAGAAAGAGAGGAGGTGGCTTTCCTATTTTGCAATTAATTTGGAACTCTGGGTAGCTTTCTCAAGTTATTTTTTAGCATCTTTAGAATGTATTTGGGCTGAACTGGCACCCCAGGTCAAAGGAAAGGCTTCTCCTATCTTCAAAATCAGTGGGAACTGGGTTCCAAACTCAGTCCTTCCACTTCCTAGCATTTGGTAGGACCTTAATCATGCTACCTCGTCTCTCCAATCTGTACAAGTCTCCATTTCCAATCTGTACAAAAAGGAAAAGACAGGCTGACCTCCTAGGGCTGTAGTGAGGCTTAGATTTTACAAACTGCAGGCACATAATATGAGGCTCAAAAAAATAAGAGATCACAATTGCTGTGTTCTCTTTCTGTATTTCCTCATCGTCTTCAATTGGCCAGAACAAAGAAGCCTTTCTCCCTTACACACTCTGTGTAACACACTGTATACACCTAACTGAGATGGGCATGGTGTTCTCCCGGAGACTGGAACATATGGATAAGATCTTCCCTGAGGGCATGAAGCAGTCAGAATGGAATCTGCATTGTTTAGTTCGTAAGTTTTCTTTGGTCAAGGATAATTAACTTGACAGATTGGAAAGAAATCCTGTCCCAGTAACCTCAGGACACACGTACTGTAGATTACATTTTCAGTTTGAAGGGCATTATACATTACTCATAAAAGTGCTTAGAAAAGCATTTTTATGATTAGCACCTTATAATAATACCACTGATCCTGCCAATCAACCTTTATTTTTTCTTTTACAGATAGGGAAAATATGAAGCCTAATTCCAAGTCACACAATAAGACATGAACAAACTCTAGTTAAGGCTTTTAATTTCTGGCTTCCGGCAACCTACTTTGCCACTAACTAACCTTGTAACTTTGAGTAATACATTCTGATCTCAGCTTAAACATCTCTAACCCAGCAGGATCCTTGGCCTGGCCTGAATGACATTTCAAGCCTTCTCTCATCACATCTACTTACCCCATGCTCCTGAAATTGCCCATCTTATCCTGGAGCTTGTATTCCTCCCCACCCTGTGTTTATGGGGCCTTCTCTCTCTTTCTCTCTTTCTCTCTCTCTTTCTCTCTCTCTCTCTCTCTCTCTCTCTCTCTCTCTCTCTCTCTCTCTCACACACACACACACCCACGTTGTGTAATACAGTAATATATACACACCCATGGCTGAGTACTTAAAATGAGATGTGATTTAAATATAAAATATACACCAGACTTTGAAGACGTAGTACTTAAAACTGTAAACCATTCTATAAATAATTTTATATATTGGATACATGTTGAAATGATAAAATTCTGAATATATTTCATTTGAATAAAATATATTACTAACTTTAATTTGACCTGTTTGTTTACTTTTTTAATGTGGCTACTAAAAAATCTAGATTAAATACTTGGCTCACATATTTCTATTGGGCAATCGCTGGTCTATACTGAAGGTTCTGTCTGTATCATTACCATCACACTTTCACCCCACCTGCTCCACTAGCACAGCACCTGATAGCAAGTACACAATAAATATTTGGTGAATTAAGGATGTTTCTAAATCTGTCTGTATGTTTCGCCAACTCTATATTGGAGATAGTGGTTCTATTTACAACACAAGATGGTTAGGATAATAACATCATCAAGAAATCTATTACTTTCTTTGAAGGGTAAATTTATGATATGACATTTTACTGAAAAGCCTTAAGTTAATTTTGAACCCTTGGGCAATCATTTGTATTTTGAAATATGTTCTTTGAGTTATAATATAAATGTAATAAATGAAATGCTGAAAGAGCTGGAGAGTAAGCAATTTAAGTGGGAAAAAGTGTTGAAAGAACCAAAGGAAAGCCGAGGTATGACCACAGTTAATGGGAAAGCAGACAGGGCCCAAAACTTATGCAAGCGGCTTTACTGTTGTTCTGTGTTAATTTAATAAGCAGAAGACTCATGGTGCTGATGGATTCCAGTACTAATGGGGACACAGTGCAAGAGGTTATCCAAAAGCCAAAGTCTGTTCCCAAATTTGATCACTACCCCACCATCCTCTCCCCAACCCCCAACGATAACACCCACACACAATGAATACAATTCTGGTTCCCAAAAAACCCTCAGGTATGCAAGCCCAAAACACACAGCAGTTCTTTCATCAACTGGATCTGCAGAACACAAGAAACAAGTGGGCAGGCGGAGAGCTAGGAAGGTACACAGGACTACTTCTGCTTAAGTCTCCTTCCCCACCTTGCCGCCTAACACTCCCTACCCCACCTCTGACACTCCAGCTAAAGGAACCAGTATGGAGACTGCTGACCCCAGTATGGAGACAAATCAAAAAAGAAAGCCACAGTGTTACATCCACCGAACCTGAGTGCTGAGTGCATGTGAAGTGAGTGAGTGGGCTTCGAGGGGGGAAGAGAAGCGGACCAGAAGCTACTCTCCGATCCAGGACCATCTCACAGATTTGTGAACTTGTCTTTGTTGAGGGCTTTTAAAAATGTTTTGTAAATCTTTCCTTTAAGCCACCAGTACCAGATCACAGAACCTTTGCCATGAATACATACACCCCAGGCACCTCGCAGCTGAAGAGCTGGTACCTTTCCTGCCACCTCCTACCAGTGGCAGGAACGGTACAAAACCAGCCCACAGCCTGGGAAGAAAGGCGGGCAGGCGGCGGGCAGGCAGGAGCAGCGGCAGGAGGAGCGCTGCACGGAGGTCTAGCGGGCACGACCCGCGCAGCCCGCGGCCCACGGGTGGGGCTGGTCGCAGCAGCACCGACCCAGGCCCCTCCGCGGCGCCCGCGCTCCCACCGCCGCGCCGCCCCGCCCCCACAGGCGGCGTTTAAAGCACCTGGGACTGGGGCCTGTCAGTTCTCGGTCCACAGGACGTGTCTGCGCACACGACAAATACACAAAATCTGCGGAGAAGGTTAGATAGAGACTGGAAGACAACCGATCTCCCGGTTTACTGCCGACACCCGGACGACGCCTCCAGAGCCGGCTGTGACGGGGAGGGGACCGCAGCGCCGAGCTCGGCGGCGGGGGAGGGGCAGCGGAACGGCGACCGGCACCGCGAAGGGTGCGCAGGCCGGATCCCCGGAGGCGGTAGGCTGGGCGGGGGTGGCGCGCCGGAAGCGGGGCCCACAGGGGCGCCCCCAAACCAGAGGGCCCGGCGCCGCCCCGGGCACCGCCCCCCAACCCCCTCCGCGGGAGGCACGT